GGACCCCCCCGAGATGAGGTTTCCTTCCCTCCCCAGCCCCAGGGCCCCTGGGGTATTTTCCAGGCTTCAGGCAGAGCAGGAACCACCCCTTGGGCTCTCTGCTCGGGTCAGCACGCGTGGGGCAGGGCGGGCGGTATTTGCTCCCTCTCGGGTTATTTTGCAGAGCGATTCCTTGGTGTCGGTGTGACGTTCCCCATGGAAGCTGCTGCAGAAGCTCAAGACTCTTTTGGGGAGTGAGGGGTTGTTTTTAAGACTCAGACTGAGCCTTGTTTAGAGTGGCTTGGAGAGGTTCAAGCAGTACAGAGCCAGCCCGGCAGGCTGCCGAGGGGCCCCGGGCAGGAGAGGGAAGTTTGTTTAACAGCAAATTGGGAAATCCTCCTTTTCCTGCAGGTAGGAGATTGGTGTGGATGTGATCAACGGTGTTAGATCCCCCCCCAAAGTAGAGGTGGAGCCCGGATGAATCTGTAAACGGACTTGCTGGAGCAGGGGAAGGCTGGGATCCTGCAATGGTGAGTCTGATACGGTATGAAGGCAGGCCTGGGAAATCCACATTTGATGCTCTGGCACCTCTGTTCAGAGGCAGAAGTGATCCCGAGGGCTGGAGGCTTCTGCCCAGCTGGCAGTCAGGAGGGGCTGTGCTCACTGGTGTCTCTAAAGGTGTAAACATCTCTGTGGTTCCCCTGTGTTTCACATGCTATTTCCCAGAGTGGGCAGCAGGAGGGCTTCGCTGTTGCTTGTGGGATTCTCTAGAGAAGCCTGCCTCTGGCTTTAGTGTTCTGAGAAAGTCCAGGTCAGACTTGCATTGTTTTCTAACGAGGAAATTTGTCTTTCTCCGTAGGCTACAAAACCCAAGAAAAGTTTAAGAGGTATGTATGCTTGTGTGCTTTCCTTTCGCTGTCCATAGGTGCTTTGATCTGCTGGGAACGTGTGGGACAGAGGAGGGGGGACACTGGGATCAGGTGGCAGTCCTGGCTACTGAAATGTTCCATAGCCCTTGTCTGAAAGATGCAGTTGAGTGCATCGTGTCATTCCTGAACTAGAGATAGTCAGCAGCCTCTCACGTCAAGTGGATTTGCTTATTGGTGTTCTATCTTCCTCTCTTGTGGGCTTTCCCAAATCTAGGGGAGAATATATGCATTTATTTCAGTTCTTCCCCTCACTTACTCCCTAACTGCTTGTTTGGAGGCCTCCTGCAGCCCCTGATACTGAAGCAGTGCTTTTGGGGTTGCCCATGGGCTCTGAGATACTGCGGGGTGAGAGCTCACAGATTAAGTGCTGCTTGTGGCCAGTGACTAACTGAATAGAAAGTAGCTGACTCACTTGATAAAGATATCCTATTTCTGACTAAGCAAAGCCAAATCTTTTATCCACAAAATACTGGATCAAGTCCTGGCAGTTCTCTCCAGACCAGCAAGGAAGGCCTTATGCTGATGATGCTTGAGACCAAACCTTTATTCTTGGGGGATTTCCAAAGAGCAAGTCATATTGAAATTGGGAGCTTTTCTACACCTGCTTGGTGAGCTCACCCGCCTCAACACCTTTAATTTGTCTCATTTCAGGCTCTATTGATGACGTGCTTGGTGACCTCCTGGGTTATGATGGTAAAATGAACCTTCTTTGTAACTAAAAGGGCAGCATCCTTGTACTCTTACTCCCCTCCTGGGAGCAACAGCCTGGGAGCAATGGCTGGTGCAACAGCCACTGATCGCCGAGGGCTCCAGTTGTAAGGTGGGATGAAGCAGGGAACAGAGCAGAGAGCAGGGTTTCCCAGAGTCAGAGGCCATTGAATAGGTTGGACATCAGCTTGGGGAGGCGAAGTGAAGTTCATCGCCGATTAAAAGCCTCTGCGGCTCATGGGGAGACAGAAAATCCCTCTTTGGAGTGCCTAGGCCAGGAATATGCCCGTGTCCGTCATCCTAATCTCTTCCTGTCTTGTTTCCAGATGAAAGCCCTGTTAAATCTGCCAGAGCTTCCCAGCTGGCCGGGGGCAGCAGCGGGAGAGCCCGGGGCACCAGCTCGCAGGCTAGCAAGAAGTGAGTGCCTTTGAGACACAGCCTCTCCCGCTTGGAGATCTCTCTGTGCTCCCCAAGTCCTTCTGACCTGCCCTGTCCTTGGCTTCTCCACCTTGCTTCCTGCTCTGATAGCAATTGCCTGGGAAAGCGAGTTACCTGCAATGCCTTTGGGAACTGGGAGCCCAGAGCCTGAAGCTTTCCAGCAAGAGTTAGGTGTCCCCAGCCCTGTACATCTTCTGTAAATCTCCCTTATAACAGTTGCTTTCTTAAATATAGCAGTCCCAGCACTACTATCTTTTATCCCAGTGCTTATTTTAGCCTCATTTTCTGTTGTGTGATGTGGCTGCCGCAGTGTGCCCATGTGGTCCCCTCCACCTCCCGCCACCTGGCCTGGCTGTCCCCAGGGCACCCTTGCCGAGCTCACGTGTGGTGCTGCTAACCCCCGGGCTTGTGTCACAGGTCCTTTCTAGAGGATGATTTCTTCAGCAAACTCCCTGCAGAGGACATCGAAGCTGCAGAGGTGAGCCCAAATTTCAGGAGAGAGCCCGGGTGTCCTGAGGGCTGGGACTGAGCCAGGCCAGGCTTGCCCCTGGTGTCACCCCATCCAAGTCAGCAGTGGGATATCGGGGATGAACCATGAAGTCTGGCTGAAGAGGTAACCCCTCTCTGGCATCGCTGTGGGGTGGGGAAGATGGGACTGGGGAGTGGGTGGATGGTGGGAGAAGGGCTTCCAGGTGCCCTGGGTGAGACGGAGCAAAGCCAGGGGGGCACATTGTGCTGCAGCCCAACCTTCCTGGGGGCGCTTCAGATAAAGTGTTGTAGGAAGGACCCTTACCCAAA